ATGGAGTGTCCAGGGAACAGACTGTGCCAGTGGCCATAAAGCCTTCTCACTTCTCCCATCACACTCCCAGCACTTCATTTCCTACTTTAAAATAAGGGAAAACACAGTATCTGTATCCACATGCTACAGCAGAGTCCCAAGCTGTGCAAGCCAGTAAAGCCTACAGCCAACTGCCACCTCGGCAGTGTCCTGCACAGCTCTCCAGCCCCTCTGGTACCCTGCTGCAGCCAGAGGCAGCCAGCTCACAGCCTCTCTCCTTGTATAGGGGAGCCAAGAGCACACTGCTAATGGCAGCTCAACACAGCAGCAGGACCAGCTTGCTGGCAACCAAAAAGATGCCTGGTGGGCAACTCCTGTTCCCCAGCCTGGGACAGCACACGCAGTCTGCTCCTTCACAAGGCAGGGAGCCTCAAGTGCCAAGGCAGATGCACCTGGGCTGCCAAGGAGGCTGTGGAAAGCCTCAGGTCAGAGTGACAACACAACCCCAGCTACATTTTAGATGGAAATGGGCGAAGAAGCTCTGAGGACACACTCTTGGTGCTGGAAGCAGGCTTTCTTCCCTGAAGTGCCTGCCTGTTACGCCTGAGCAATGAGAGGATCACGGGCTCAGCTCCCGCTGGCTTCCTGGACCAGTGAGGAACCAGACTTCCCAGTAGTGTAAGAAAAGCCTCTGATGAATTACTGGGCTTATGGGAGCACAGGGGTTATTATCAGCTACTTCAGAGGCTTTTTGCATCAGAGTAAACCATCCAGCTGCTCTCCAGCTACCAGGAGGGATATAGAGGTTTCAGCAGAAACCAGCACCCTGCGCACTCTGCACATTTTCCTGCTGCCTTTTATTCCTCAAGCACAAGCACTCCGAGCTTCACTTAGCTGTCCAAGTCCATCCTCAAGGTCACTGTCCCTGTAAAGATGCCACCAGGCACATAATTTAGCCCACAGCACCTTTATTAGCAAGAAAGGTGTACAAAAGCCAGCTCAACCAGCAGACCTTGACAGCTGGCCAACTCAAAGACCCTTTTATAAGGTTACCTCTTGACAGCTATACACTGAATGACACCAAACTCATGCTATCCCAAGGCAGATGGCCAAAAAATGAGATGGCATTCCTGAAAGCACAGATCTTCCCCTCTTACTGTTGTTAATATCCTGGACAGCAAACTCAAGCTGTCAGAAAACAGCTTTGCCACACTGCAAACAGCTCCTCAAAGGCAATCAAGCCCTTTGTGCCTCTACTTTCCAATGGCAGAATAGAGACCAAAAAAAAAAAAAAAAAAATCAACCTTCACAGCAGGGCTACTGAGAGAGTGAACAAATGCTTGCAGTGCACCTCAAGGCTTGGCTGTAGACACACATGAAGAGCAGATTTCCTGCTGAGAAGGCACAGCAATTCTGGCCACAGCTCCATATGGTAATGGACACCCCACTGCAGAGTCCAGTCCTGCTGAAAAATCATTCCTTCAGGCATTTTTGTCAGTCTTCTCCAGTTGAAACTCCCTGCCTCCTGACAGACCTTCATGGTGGATCACTCTTATCCCTGTCAGTCATCCACCTGATGTCCCCCAGTTGCTCCTGTTACCTGCTGACTGTAAGTTATTCTCCACTGTCCTCCTGCTAAAACCACAGTAAAGGAAAAGGGTGAAAGAAAAAGTTGGTGCCTTCCTGCCAACCTCCTGCTTCATCTAGTGAATAGCCCACTGGAATGTGCCCCAAGAAACACATCCAAGCCAGGAGCTGAATGAAACGTGGCCAAGTCACCAGCAGCTGGGCCACAGGAACAGAGTGAGCATTTTAAGCATTTCCAGGGCCTTGCAAGCAGGATGGGATACCACTGCTTTGCCAAACGCCTTGTCTGTGCACAGGCAGCGAAGAGGGGAGGGGTGTTTGGTGCATGAAGTGAGCTCAGGGCCAGCCTTGCTAGTGCTTTGCCCACCACGGCCATGCCTCACACCACAGCTTGTGAGCACGGGCACTGAAGGCTGATCCCAAGGTAGTCTCAGCTTGTGATGAGTGAGCAGCTCTTCTCTGGGCCAGGCAGCCCTGCATCCTGGTCCTATGGGTCTCAGAAACCAGGTGATAAAGGAAGCTCAGCTTGGTCTGTGCTCTCACACACAGTGAAGGCTGGAGCGGGCATAGAAGGGACCTCCAGGAGCAAAACAACACTTTGCTCCACTGCTCACTCTCTAAGCACAGGACAGCTTCAACAGCAGCTTACAGAGGCCACCTGATGGACGCTGTCCTGCTGGAGAGGAGCTCCTGCACATGCACGGGCTGCACCTGCCCTGCCAGTGCTGCAAACCCGGGTCACCCTCTCCAGGACAGGGCAGAAAGGTTGGCTGGCAAGACCCCTGCCTGCAGCAGGGCCCGGTACTAGGGGAGCCAAGTTGATCCTCATCACCCAGGAAGACAGCATCCCAGATAACCACAATCTGAGAGTATACTGTATGCTATGGGGAGGTCCCACAGCTCATGGCATCTGTTCTGCCTGTACACCCTAACACAATCTAGCAAACCTCGCTCCAAAATAGCAACAAAGTCTGCTGCAAACTGAAGCATCAGACCTGTTTCCCAAGCATCTAAAAAACAGGGAGAGAAAGCAAATTCTAGTGAACTTTCCTGATGCAGCACAGAGCAAGAGCACTCCTCACAAGCAGCATCACTACCCCACAATCCGCAGGTTCACATCCTTACATACACCTTCACTTCCATTGCCCAGCAAGGACTGTAAATCCCTGGCATTCACCTCCAAGGGCTTGCAGTTTGCTTTGAATTTAACCCTCTGGGATACAAGTTCTACACGATCCCAGCTGAAGTTACTTTGGAGAACAGTCTCCAGAGTTCAGATGTAACAAGACCTTCCTCTCAATCATCTCAATGATTCCTTACATTTGTATCTTTTACACAGTCCCAAGAAAGACTAAAGTATGGGAGGCAGAGAGCAGTGCCAAAGAGAAATTCCTCAATTCCTCATACGCAAATGCTTGGGGTTCAACGATGCCAGCTCCTCAGCTATAGGCAATGCTTTCATACACTTGGGTAGCCTTTTTAAACAGCAAGCACCCAAGGGCCTGCCCAGACACGCTGCAAGTAAAATGCTACTGAAAGCACATATGGAGATGTGTTCTTGCCCCAGCTCGTGACCCTGGGGTCAGAGTTCAGCTCAGGGGGCAGTGGAGAGAGCATCAGCCTTGCCAGACTGGAGAGCCACAGCTGCAGGGGCAGAGAGCACACCCCTCATGCCAGAGCACACCAAGCCACCATCACTAACACAGGCTGCAGAGCCCCAGCGTTGCAGAGTCTGTTTTCCAAACAGAGCTGGAACCCCAGAGCACACCAAGCCTCTTCCAACAGCACACAGGCAGAGCTGCTGTGGGTCTCTCCTGGACTCAAGCTGCATTCCTTCAGGACACAGACAGATGATGTCCAGGACACTCCTGGCCAACCAGCACCATCACCATGGGGTCACCCAGCCAGCGGGCAAGCACACAGCACCAGCTGAGCCAAGCCACTACGAGACTCTTGTCCCTGCTTGCCTGGCAGGTCTATAAACATCAGTCTCCTTCGACATGTAGGAATGTGGAGGCCAGGTGAGCAAACCCTGGACACAGCAGGAAAGCACAGTTCCCACAGATCGATGTCCTAGCCCATCTCACTGCACATACGTGTTGGAAGTCCATGCCAACACAGCTTCCACATCTTCTCTCCCCCTGTATCTGGATAAGCCACTCATTTTCTGAACTCTTCCTTCAGCAGGCGTCTCTGGAGTAACAATCATGCAACAAGGTCTGGAAATCCACTTCTCTGTCAGACATCTCCCTCTTCCAGCTCAGAGTGACAGAAAGAGCAGGAGGTAAAGCTGGATCCAGGAAAGGGTTCAAGAGCACTGTCCTCAGCCCTAGTGTCATGTTCCACTCAGTAGAGCAGCCAGTGGAGAGCCTGTCTAGAAACCAGAGAGCAGCATCTGCAGATAACCACATCTCCACACCCAACAACACTGTGCCCTGTCAGATGCAGGCACAGCTGTACCTATTCAAACACACAGGGCCTGCAAGCTGCAAAGTCATACCTCACTACAAGGCCCCTGGAGAGGGCACTCTCCTTGAAATTACAACTACTAAAGCTTCAAAGAGCCTGTGCCCACAGTGACCCAACTCCTTCCTTTGCCTTCTGGATTCAGGACCATGGTCCTCACACTCAAAGCACAGTGTGGGACTGGCTCAACTCCAAACCAGTGACATTATTCTCAGACAAAAACTCTCACCCTCCAGAACAAGGAGGTGGAGCAGCCACTGTGACTGGCCCACAAATCTGCAACCACCTCTCTGAAGAAATCAGGGTAACCACAAACCTCAGCACCTTCACAGTAAGCACAAGCCTTGCTTCAGCCAGCCTCCCCACAACATCACCATGCAGTAAACAAATCGAGCACAGTCTCTTGTCAGCAGTGGAGGAGAGAAACCTGCTTTTATGTATGCACCAAAGTGCATGCCGGGAAAGGCTCAGATACTCTGGTGAGGGGCACCCTACGGGGACTGAGAAAGATCACTGAGAAACAGGGCTTTGCTTGCCCTAAAGCAACAAGCAGAGAAGCATACAAATAAGAGCAATGGGCTGTGCATTCCCACACCCCACCACGCTCCTTCTCAGGCTAAGCAAGCACAGGGTACCGCAAGGATGCACCAGGCACTTAGGGGAGTCCTCAAGAGAGAATGGCTCTTCTCTGATCCTCAATTAACAGACACCGAACACTTAAACTTCATTTTATCTAAAGTATATTTTAAGTTCAGCCAAAGCAGATGAAAGAAAGGGGGTTAAAAGTGCTCTGTGCACAAGACCTAGAGACTCAAGGCAGTAGCTCACACAAAAATAGCAGCTTTCACAGCACGTATATAGCAAAGCACTAATGTTTATTCTTGTATCTAGGACTAACTTTAATTCTGCCTCGATGCACATATATAACAAGACATTAATGTTTCTTAAAGAACCAATACTTCACCTACCTCTATGTCAGAGAAGTGGAAGTCCCCCATAACTTTGCAGCACCCTCGTTCCTGCATGCAGCTAATTGCTAACGCTGGAATTCACCTTCCAAGGCAGCCATAGAGTATAAAGCTGAAGTGTAAAATGAAACTATGTCCATAAAACAAATTCCATAAAACAAATACCTATTTCCAGTGCAATACAGAGGGAGCACAATTCTTAGCAGTGGCTGCTAACAGGGAGGGCCTGGTAGCTGAAGTCCCTCAATTGGCTGAAGTCCTGCTTCTGCCTTCAAGGCAGTGCAAATGAGATACCTCGGGGCTGGGGGCCCCTCCCAGGGGGCTTTAGCACTACAGGCAGTAAGTGCTTTCTCTCCCAAAGCATTCTGCCAGCCACAGGCTGCTCTTCCCCCACAAGGCCTTCCCACAGGCTTCTGGCCTGGGGTCCCACACACACACTCATCCCCTTCCACCTATGTTCCTGTGCCAGAGCAACCACAATGTAATTCAAACACATGCTTTAGGACCGCATCAGGTAGCGAATGAGACAACCTTGCCTACCTGTCCCTCCCTTGCAATAACGGGCACGTTGGCAGGGACATGCAGCCAGTTCACAGGGCTGGGGCAACAGCAGCCTCACCCCACATACTGCCTCTTTCTACTCTACTGTAAAGCAGGGTTCCACAGATCCCATGCTTTCATGGAAACACTTAGAAAACAAATACTCTGCAAATTGATTATCATATATTTTCCCTGCTTTCGGCACAGTCACCCCAAAAGGAAGCAATGAGTTACCTGCACTGCAACCCACACTTCTTGTAACAACTGAGCCAAATGGCAGAGAGAGCCAGACAAGCATCAGAAAGCTTCACCAGAAGAGATCTAAACTTGATCTCATCAGGAAAAACACAAAACAGAAGAACTCCAAAACACCCCAGTAAAATCAACCACCCCAAACCAACCAACCAGATAACAGTACCTATCCTAGTGCAACAGAAGGGCCACATGGTGAGGGAAAAGGCAGGCCTGCAGAAGGCACGATATACCTCTGAGGACAGACATTCATAATATCATGGAACAGCAGTCCTCGTAGGGAAACCAGAGATGGAAAATGTGATGGGCACCCCATGGCCAAGCCAAAATCTCACTGTCACAGAAACACCCACACTCCTTGAACGATACCCAATGCACCTCTGCAAGCACATTTCCAGCGCCCACATGAAAAACAAAGAGGGACTGGGACTCAGTTCCCACGCTTCTCCTTTTCTTTTCTGAACTGAAAGGAGTGTTTTGCTCCTGTTAGAGCAGGATTTATAGTCTCTACAGGTTGGGAATGCCTTGGAGACAACAGGCTGCAGCACAGAAGCAGCGTGCACCCCTTAACCTCAAGGCAGCGTTTCCTCTGCAGGGAGGAGGTTCCCATACAAAGGATGGGTCAAGAGCTGCCCTGATTCACCTCCGTGCCAACAGAATGCAGGCCCTCAGCACCTCTCTGAGCACTGGGCCCCAGTGCAGCACAGGGCAGGAGCCCTACATCCAGGCAAAAACTCTCTCAGCTTTTAGCCGACTTCCCGAAGAGCCGAGTGTGCTCAGGCATTCCCTAGAGCACAGCCATAACCTTTCCCCGGGTATCTGCCAGGGATCTGCCTCAAACATTAAAGCCCAGCCACAGTGTCCCAGGTATACCCTAATTCTCAGGATGACTTGACACATCCAACACAACAATGCTAAAAATTATTAGCCACATATTGGCTGATTGCTAGGCTGCATCCCAGATTTTCCCATATAAGGGAAAGTTGAAGGCATTGTCCTATCACACGGAAAACATATTGCACCAGCCTGAGATATTAGAAAGCAAAATCAGAGTCTCCTCATGTCACAAGCTGACACCCACAGCACCACGGTTTTCCCCATTTGCTGCTGGTTTGGTCAGCTTTCCCAGCGCTGTTATTCCAGCAGGCTGTGCCTGATGATGGCTGGAGGCTGGCTGGGACAGGTGCTGCCCAGAACAGCACTCACAGCTCGCTGCTGTGCAGGGCCCTGCACTTCCCTACAGGATTTTGGTCCCACCACCACCACACTTGGCAATGCAGGCACTGACACTGACACCGATCCCACGGTGAAGGGCAACTCTGCTTTCACAGGGCTTTAGGGTGCTGAGAACCCACTGCACAAACCCTGCCCGCACTGGCACCAACACTGTGCCCACAGCAAACACTGCTGCCTGACTGCATATAGACCACTCACCCTGATTATCTTCTCAACCTTTGACAGCACTTGTTGGCCCCCAACAACCACTCTGCCTCTGCCTGGCTGGAATCGCCAACACCAGAGGTTGATTCCACTGTCCCAAGCAGGAAATTGGGGATGAAAGAGGAGAAATGCACTCACTGCTGCTTGTAGGAGCAATGAAAGAAGCCCTCTTGGCTCCCCCAAAGTCTTACCCAGTGAGGTTGCCAATGTCTCTTTAAGACAATCTCAGAGCAGCCTCCCCACACATGCCTGGTCTCCAGACCCAACACAGGACTCCACGTTCCTGCACCAAGGGCTTGCTCTCAGCACAAGGCTGATCAGCTCTCCGCTCTTTGCCAGGGCAAGCTTCTCCTGCACGCTGATGAGCACCACACCAGCTCTTATCTCTGCAGAGCCCAGACAGGCCAGGACACCACAGCAAAACACAAAGGCCTGCTCTGGCAGCCGAGCCATCTCACAAAAACAAGTTCACATGCTTGTGCAAAGCCCTCTTGAAATAACACAATCCATTACAGTGAAACCCTTAATATTAGCCACCTGTAAAAGTTTGTCTTCGGAGAAACCGGTGAGAAAATATTACAGATCGCTCAAGAAAACTAAATCTTAAAAATTATTAAGATTACACTTGGTGAGGGGGCAGAGATTTGTTTCCTGTTGAAGAAATACAGTAAAAAGCAGTCAGGAAAACAAGATATTCCTCTGGGAGCCTTCTCCACCAAGTCACTAGAAATCAACAGACCCCAAAAAGACCCACAGCACTGAACACTGTGTCTAGCACTGGTACACCCAGGGCCAGCTGCTTAAAGACTAGCAGTGTAGACAGAGCCACTGTCCCCAAGGCCACCATGCAGGGCAATAGAGGGAGAGGTAAACTGAAGCCTTTAAACAGGTGTACACTACCAAACCAGACAGCAGCACTCAGAACAAGGTGATGAGGGTCCCTGTGATAGCATCTTGCGCAAGAGATGCCCATTATTCACAGCTGCAAGCATGAGAAACAGTACAAAGCTGCCTTAGTGTCACAGGTTCAAACAGGGTACCCACACCAGCCCGCAGCAAGGGGCTGCAACTGCCTCCTCAGGGACAGGGCAGCTGACGTTTCTGCTGGGAGGAATGGCACAACAGGCAGGAATAAACACCCATGGCTGCGGGATGGGCTTCAAACTTCATGGAAGTGTAAACGAACCAACATCAGTTGTTCTCCAAGTCCTCTCCTTGACTTTGGTTTTTGTTTGAAGAATAACAACACATACTTTCAGTTCTGTGCACGAGGCACATGCAGACACTTTGACAGGATCCAGCTCTCCTAGTTATCACACTTTACAGCTTGAAGCATTTGAGGGGCAACATTCAGTCAGCTTCACCCCGCTGCTGCCATGCTGCCCCTCTCTGCAGCAAAGCCAACGCAGCAGTGTATCCAGCGCTCCTGAAGGACCTGCAAGTTCAGACAGCTGTACCAATTTGGAAACATGGGCTGAATTAGTGTTCCCAAAGGCAAACAGACAGCAACGTTACGCTTTGTAGTGGAAGATGAATCAATTTTCGGGAAAGGAACCCAGGGACAGCCCTAAACCAAAACCAACCCAGCTGGAGGCCAAAAACCTTGAGAGAAACAATCTATTTACTCCAGGAAGAATTTACTCCCAGAGCAAAATATGGTGTTATTGCTTCATACTTCAAGAGCTGGACCAAAACAACAATTTCTCTGCAAAGCAGCACAGCAGAGCTACTGCGTGAACAAGGTAAACAAAGGGCAAGTGGAGGTAAGACAGCACCTATTCCTGTGCTATCATCTGAATGGGGCCCAAAAGCAACAGCAACACTTCATAGCGAGGAAAATACTCAGAGCTCAGTGTTTCCTCTCCTGCGGCAACATCCAAATCCAAGTGACCCCACATCAGTTAAAGAGATACCATGTGAACGAAGGGACAAACATCTAACGACTGCAACGCATCCGTCTGCCCCCTGGGAGCCCTCTGCCAGGGAGGCTGGGGCTGCCTGACGGGTGCTGGAGGCTTCTGCCCAGACCCACAGGACACTGCACAACCACAGCGAACCACCTCCACCACTCTCATTCTTCAACCCCAACAGCATTTGCTGCATTTCTCGAGCAGGAGGTAAACAACAAAAAAGCCTGAGCTTTTGGCTAAAAGCATCCCAACTCACTGAAGAAACAAACCAAGCACCTCTCATAGCAAAATTGCGGAAAAACTACCACATCCAAGGCCAGCAGCAGAGCAGGCAGCACCAGCTCTGTGTGCTGCGGGGCCACCGGCCTGGCCCCCGCGGTCCCCGACTCCACCGCGAGTTCAGTGTAGTTGGCAGGAGGCGAATCGATAAATAAGAGGGGCCGCTGCTCCCAGGCGGGTGTTGCACCCCCGCAGCAGCAACCAAGCTGAGGATTTCGCTTCCTCTTCCCGTATTGTTTGTGTGCGTGTCTTTCACAGCGTTCACCCTACAGACCTCAACGATCAAGGCTAAAATCCACCTTCATCGCCAGCGAACGCCACTGGCGGGCACAGGGGAACCCTCCGGCGCGGGCACCGACACGCAGCGGGCGCGATGACTGCGGCGAGAGGCGGCTGCGATGTGTGCCGTGACATGGCTGCGGTGACACCACCGCTCGCGGCTGCTCCGCGCAGCGGGACCGGCCCGCGTTATCCGCGGGGAGAGCGGCCCCTCCCCCGCAACCCCCCGCGCCGCCCCCGCGCCTCCAGCCCGCACAGGGCCCCGCTGCCCCCGCCCGCCAAGTTTAAAGCCGCAGTTATGGATTTTCTGGAGCTCCGCGGCCGGGATGCCGGCGGGGAGCTGCGCCCCGTGGGGGGGCTCCGGCACCCGCACCCCGCGCCGGGGGGCTCGCTCCCCCCTCCGGGCCGGGAGGAGCCTCCGC